CGAAATGATAATACTTAATGTGCAAAATGTTAATACTAAGTGTGCAAACCTGAAAAAGTATGAGAATTTCAAATTTTTGTGTTCAAGTTTGCATCGTAAAATTGGTGATAATTATAAAAATGTCACTGTATTTTTTTTTTTTTTAAATTTAATCTAATCTATATAATTTTTTCAGATGTAAGACTAAGATTGATTTTTATTTCTCTCTAAAAAAACTTATTCTCATTTCATCCAACACACTTTACTTTTAGTTCAATAATTGACACACACTCTACTTTTATTATTCTCATTTCATCCAACACACACTTTACTTTTAGTTCAATAATTGACACACACTCTACTTTTATTATTCTCATTTCATCCAACACACACTTTACTTTTAGTTCAATAATTGACACACACTCAACTTTTAGTTCAATAATTGAGATGCAGACTCCCACTTAGTGTTAGTGGGTTTCATGTTGGTCATGAATCACGTTGATGCATTGATGCGATATATTATTATAAGACTTAGCTACACTTTCCACCTCCTTATAATTTATACTCTCATATATCATTTTAAACATCCAATTTAATTAATAATAGTTAGCTCAGTATATATATTATTTATAATTTTACTTTATATGGAGTATCAAATAGTTTTATATTAAAAATAAAAGTATATATTTAAAGAATATATTAAATTTTTTATTAAATACAAAACATTTCATTTAAAATTATGAGGATATTTTTTTTTAAAATATTCGATTTGAATTTTAAATTTGATGGTTTTTGGGTCTCAACCCAACACCAGGGCCGGATTTTAGGCTGTGCAAGCTGGGCTACCGCACAGGGCCCCCAACTTTAGAGGGGCCCCAAATTTTAAAGGTCCAATATTTAATTTTTACCTAGCTAGTTTATAAATAAAAATTAAAAGTTTTTAATTAAATTTAAAAGGTTCTATGAAGAGATGGTAAGAATGTGTATTTGTTGTATTTTAACTTGGAGGTCAAAGGTTCGAAACTTACATGTATTAATTTTAAAAATTGTGATTTTGGTAGGGCCACATTTATTTACTAGAACAGGGCCACCAAAATTTAAAATACGGCCCTGCCCAACACAAAACTCACACACCTTAAGTTTCAACAACTACTCACATTAGAGCATATAGCCATTAATATGCAATCCAACTATATATGAGCTTAGGCTTTTAGTTGAGGTGGAGCATATGCTTCAATTTGATATCAGAGCCAGACCGAAGATCACGAGTTCGAATCTTAACGCCACCCATATGGGACTGCCAACTACACCAGAACCTAACTATATATATATATTGAAATAAGCTAGATCCATCATTATAATATAGTTGCATTACAATAGTAAAAATGGACGTGTTTTGAAATAAAGTTGTGTTGTGAAAATGAACATGTTGTGTCTGTTTAATGAACTTATATAATATTTATCAGTACAATGATGTATTTGCATTAGTGTTATAAAAATGAACCTACAATATTTGGAAATGAACCAGCAGTATATTGAAAATTAACTTAAGATAGTGACTTAATATAATCGTATGTTAATTCAAAACATTAAAATAAAAATATCAATATGAGTGTTATTTAAAAGATCTCAATTAGAGCTTTTAATGATATATTTTTTTAATATTATTTCTATTTATATAAAAAGATAAAAGAAAAATAAATTTAATGTGAAAAAAATCATAATTTGGTTCACCTTACAAGAGGGACAATGGTCTAAGTATACCAATCGATAAATAATACCATAGATCATGATCCACATTGTAAGGTAAACCACTGATATAATGTACATTTATAATAGAACGAAGGTACATTATTTAATAGTATACAAAATAATGTACCTTTTGTACACAAATAACCTGCATTTAAGTATGCAAACTTGAACACTAAAATCTGCACTTCTCAAAATTTTTTAAATTTGCACATTTAGTATTAACATATTGCACAATTAGTATTACAAGAATGCACTTATAAAAATGTGAAAGTGTATTACACTTAGGATTTATATTTTAGAAGTTCACTTTTATATAATAAGTAATAATATTAACTATTAGTAAAAAGTTATTAAATTGTCAAATTAGTAAATAATTAATAATTATATATTTATGCATAAAAATGATTCAAATTCTTGTGAAATAATTTATTTCTTGTATTATGTTAAGAGTTTATGTGTATTATGTTAAGAATTTATGTGTATTATGTATTATGTATTGTGTTAGATAATGTGTATTATGTTAGAAATTTATGTGTATTCTACTATACAATTATGTACATACAAAACATGAGATTTTTAGGGCGTACAACGTATTTGCGCCGTGGTGCACGATATAACAACTGAAAAAAGTAGAGGTGGGCATTTTGATTTTTTTTTTTTTTTTTTTGGATTCGGTTTGGTTTCGATTTTGAAAAAATGAAAACACTTGTTTAAAATTTTAGTTTGGTTTGGTTTTGGTTTGATTTGAGATAGTTTTATTTTGACTCGGTTTTGGTTTGGTTTGGATTTCGATTTAGTTTGAAGTCTCAAACTAACATTTCCTAGTTCTCCTGTGCATATAATTATTTATTTATTTTCACTAATAATTTACATTTTAAAAAGTTAAACAACAAGTCCCAATGCATATTTCAAATTTCATAAACTAAAATAATTCAAACCGAACTGAAATCTTCACATGCTATGACGTTCAACAGCAACGTCACACACTCGCAGAAAAAAAATTGGGAATAAAGAACAATATAATTGTGAATATTTAGGTTAGGAAATTGGGAATTTAGTATATATATATCATTTAATTTTTTTTGTTTAATTGTTTCAATTTTTAATTGAACCGAACCAGAATCATTCGGTTCATAGAATACAGAACTAATAAATTTTTAATAATAAACTAAAATCTAACCGTACGACTCTCGGTTCGGATTATCCAAACCTAAATGCTCACCCTAGAAAAAAGGACTAGATAAGAAAAAGATGTACATAAAAATCAAAAGTAGATATCAAATGCAAGTGAGGAGACAGTGAAAAGGACTACATAAGAAAAAGATGTACGTAAAATATCAAAAGTAGATATCAAATGCATGCGAGGAGACAGTGTAAAGACTAAAAGGACTAGACAAGAAAAAGATGTACGTACAATATCGAAAGTAGATATCAAATGCAAGTGAGGAGACAGTGAAAAAGACTAAAAGATAAAAGACATTCATAAATATCAAAAGTAGACATCAAATGCAAGTCTTCTTGATTACTACGGGTCTTGGTCTTCGAAGAAAGAATTCTGGTTATGTTGGCGATAAGGATAACAGATGGTCTACAACATGATATGTATTTATATTTTGGGGTGGTCTTGTTTGTTAGCGATCATCAGTTTAGTTTATTGTAACTTTGTCTATAATTGAGATAGAATACATGATTGTGATTGAAGTAACTAAAGAGGTTTTGTGGCTTTCATGTTTGATTAAAGAATGGAGTATTGAGTAGGGTGTAGTTTAGTTAGATTGTGATAGTCAGAGTGTTATCTTTTTAGAGTCTTTTGCACTTTTAGTCCCATGACTATACTAGCACTGGCAGAATTGATCCACGACTTTTGAACCTTGCAATTTTAGTCCACGACTATTGATTTTTTTGTAAAAATGGTCTTTCCGGCCACTTTTCCGTCAAAATTTCACCGGAAAAAAAAAATTCTCCATTTTTAGCCGGGTTAAAATTGACATTTTACTTATTTCAAAAAATTAAAAGAAAAAAATTGATATTTGACTACATACAATATTACTGGGCTACATATTACTGCCCAAGGCGGCGGAGTTCCTGGAGCAGGCAGGGCTGTCAGTAAGCGGCGGAGCGGCCGTGGCGTTCCCCGGGCTAGTTGGGTTATCCGGCAGCAGCATTGGAGTGGTACATGTACTCCGCCGCCTGGGGCAGTAGTATGTAGCCCAATAATATTGTATGTAGTCAAATATCAATTTTTTTCTTTTAATTTTTTGAGATAAGTAAAATATCAATTTTAACCCGGCTAAAAATGGAGAATTTTTTTTCCGGTGAAATTTTAACGGAAAAGTGGCCGGAAGGACAATTTTTAGTAAAAAATCAATAGTCGTGGACTAAAATTGCAAGGTTCAAAAGTCGTGGATCAATTCTGCCAGTGGCACTATAGTCGTGGGACTAAAAGTGCAATAAACTCTATTTTTTTAGCTAAAAATTAAGTATATCATTCTAGAACCAAACATATTGATGTAAGGTTTCATAAGGTTAGAGAGTTTGTTGCAAAAAAATTATAAAAGTGAGGGTGTAACAGACATGTTAACAAAGTTGTTTGAACTTGTTGGATGTTTTTAGATGCTAGATGAGCATGATTGTCCCGACCCATGAGTATATGTGAGATGTCTTTTCTTTTAAGAGGCCTGCATATTCGCTAAGGTGGAGATTTATTGAGTTTGTCTCTAAGGAATATGAGTTTATCTCATATACAATATATGCCAATTTATATCCTGCACCAGGGCGCGCATTGCATTGTGCGCCCTGATGCAAAACGACGTCATTTCATATTTTTTTTTTTGAAATTTCGCTACCATGTATTGGCGGTTAATTTTCTTTAAAAAAATCTCAAGTTCAAAAATGTACATAATTTTATACTAGAATACACATAATTGTATACATGAATGTACATAATTGTATAACAAAATACACATACTTTTTTTTTTTAAGATAATACAGATAATCTAACATAATACATAATATACATAAACTTTTAACATAATAAACATTATCTCTTAACATAATACACATAAGTTTTCTGTTTCAGATGTACATAATTGTATAAAAAAGATGTACATGATTGTATAACATTAAGTCAAACTATTACTAGAAATCATTGTTTCCAAGCAGATGCTACTTATCATGCTCTAGCGTTATTGTAAATGAGAATAATGCACCAAGATGATCAAATTGAAAAGTTACTCCAAGGTTGAGACAACTAGAACAATTTGAGAGAAAGCTATGGAGAGAGATTATACTAGGGTCCTCCGGGAATTCGTAAACCTTGTCGTTGGCCAATAGTGTAAAACCAAAAACCTCTGCGTTTTCCAAGATAATCTCCTGTCTCAGCTTCCAATATAATCCTTTCGATTAGATTATGGAATGTGAATAACCAATTCAATTAACCTCAGACAAGGAATTAGAGTCCTATATACAAAGCTCCTATTCTGTAGGCTAAAACTAATTATATTAAGTCTCTACCACATATACAGACTATATAGTTCAATAAAATAAATACAATTATTTATATTACTAACACACCCCCTCAAGCACAAGGTTGGAGGGTGACAACATTGAGCTTGTCTCGAAGTAGTTGAAAACGCGGTCCTGGTAAGGGCTTGGTGAAGATGTCGGCTAGCTGCTCCTTTGTGGAAACAAAACTGACAATAAAATCCCCAGATGCGACCTTGTCTCGAACAAAGTGATAATCGATCTCAACATGCTTCGTCCGAGCGTGGAAAACTGGATTGGCAGCCAAGTATGTGGCCCCGAGATTGTCACACCATAGTGTTGCCGGCTTGCCCGAGTGGAGCCCAAGTTCACGCAGCAAAGAGACAACCCAAGTGACCTAAGCTGAAACGTCTGCCAGGCCCTTGTACTCTGCTTCAGTCGATGATCTTGCCACTGTGCGCTGCTTGCGGGATACCCTGTCCCCGAGAAAGACCGCATACCCACTGGTGGACTTCCGATCAATCGGGCAGCCAGCCCAATCGAAGTCGGAGTAAGCATGTAAATCAGTTATCGACGGACGAAGACGTAGACCGTAGTCCTGAGTCCCCTTGATATAGCGAAGAACCCTCTTAAGAAGACTCCAATGATCATCTGTGGGAGAATGCATAAACTGACACAATCTGTTAACTTATGCCAGATCTGGACGAGTAATGGTGAGGTACTGTATAGCCCCAACTATACGGCGGTACTGCGTGGGATTCTCAAAAGGATCGGAAGACGGAGTAGCCGGTTGTGTTACCGAAGTCGGTGTAGCCAAGGCTTTGCAATCTGTCATGCCCGAGCGAGATAGTATATCCTGCATATACCGGCGTTGAGAGAGAAGAAAGCTATCACCAATTGTGAGAGTCTCGATCCCTAAGAAGAAGCTTGGTGTTCCCAAGTCCCGGATCTTGAAAGTCGTGGCTAAGCGGTGTAGTAAGACGGTAACCGTATCATTCCCCATCATTATAATGTCGTGGACGTAGACTAGTAAAAAGACGCGTGAATCTCCCGAAGTGTAATGGAAAAGTGAGACATCTGTTTTGGATGCCAAGAACCCTGTGGATATCAAAAAATCATGAAGCCTTTTAAACCACGCACGTGGTGCTTGTTTTAGTCCGTAAAGGGACCGTTGAAAGTGACAAACATGATTCGGCCTAGCTGGGTCTTCATAACCTTGTGGTTGCTTCATATATACGGTTTCAGCAAGATGTCCATTTAAGAAAGCGTTGTGAACATCCAGCTGCCGTAGGGTCCACCTGTTAGAAACAGCAAGAGAAAAGAGTATGCGGACGGTGGTTGGTTTGACCACCGGACTGAAAGTGTCAAAGAAATCTTCCCCCGCAACCTGGTTGAACCCTTTGGCTACTAGTCTCGCCTTATAGCGCTCCACTGAACCATCGGCTTTGCGTTTGGTGAGAAAAACCCATTTGCAGCCAATGATGTTCATTTGCGGTGTAGCCGGAGTGAGTTCCCAGGTGTTGTTATGCAAAAGGGCATTTAATTCCTGATCCATGGCATCCCGCCACTGAGGATGCACTACGGCCTGAGAGTAGCAGGTTGGATCAGTAATCGCAGTAAGAGCAAAAAACTCTTCATCATGACCTTGTGTCTTGTGCCGAGTCCGCATAGTATGCGGGACATGAGGCTTGCCTCGTCCCAGGCCCCTACGGGCCGTAGCAGGTGGTCCCGTGGTGACACGAGTTTTTGGTGGAGTTGTTATGGCCGGTGGCCCCGGTTCTGGTGCCATAGGTAACTCCATGGCTAGGGGTGTTGACTGAGTGGCAACTACAACTGGCCCGGCTCCCCAGGGTGTTGTAGTGGAACTCACTGTAGTCTGAACAGGTGCCTGTAGAGCAAAAGGGAAAACGGACTCATCAAACCGAACATGGCGGCAGATAAAGATCTTTCCCGAGATAGGATCCATACACCGATATCCCCTAAAAGAGACAGGGTAACCTAGAAAGACACAGGGTGTCGACCGATACTCTATCTTGTGCCGATTGTAAGGCCGAAGATATGGGTAACAGCGACACCCGAAAACACAAAAGAACGTGTACGGAGGTTGTGTTTTATAGACACGATAATGAGGACTTTCATAGTTTATAGCAGAGGATGGTAGATAATTGATTAAATAGGCATAATCCCAATATATTTGTGGGGTTGAGCTTTCAGCTAGAAGTGCCAAGCCGGTTTCGACTATGTGTCTGTTCCGGCGTCCGACACGGCCATTTTGTTCATGGGTATAGGCACACGATTGTCTGTGTGTAATGCCTAAATTTTCAAAGACTTTATGAAGGCGACGGTACTCACCCCCTAAATCAGACTGTATGGCTTTGATAGAACGCGAAAAACGTCGTTCTACCATCACCCGGAACACATCAAATATTTTATATATATCTGATTTTAACCGTAATGGGTAAAACCAGCAATAACGCGAGTGGTCATCTACAAACAATACGAAATAACGGTAGCCAGTAGCACTAATTACAGGAGACGGACCCCAGATGTCCGTATATAACAAGTCTAAAATATTATTACTAGTGCTAGAAACCCTATCTAAGGGAAAACGAGCTGATTTCCTGAGTTGACACGCGGTACACAACTTTGACGAACTGGCTTTATTTGTAGTGACGGGACAGTGTTTTAAGGCGCGTTGTAGAGCTTGATTATGGGGGTGACCTAGACGTTGATGCCACACCACGGAGGATGCTCGAGCGGTAAGAAAGGCACACGTTGATGGTGGGACCAATAACTTGTATAGGCCGCCGGAGGTGAAACCTTTAAGAAGAACTGCCCGAGTGTTGCAATCCTTCACAAGAAACAAATTTTTGTGAAATTCAAAATAAACGTCGTTATCGTTAGTAAAGCGATAAACGGACAATAATGGTAATGTTAAATTTGGAACATGTAGGATTTGTGACATTGACAAACTTTTAGACTGAGATGGGATTACGGTATGGCCTACACGTGAAACATCCAAACCTGTACCATTTCCAATTTTTAGAACGTCCCCACCAGTGTAGGCTTCAGAGTGTCCCATCATCTGTTCGTCTGGAGTTGCGTGGGATGTTGCCCCGGTATTCGGGTACCACACATCGGGTGTCACATGTCCCGAATTCTCGCCGGAGACCGCTACGTCGGCGTGACCGGCAGGACGATCATTGTACCGTTTGCAGCAGTACAAAGTCGTGTGTCCATGTGCTCTGCAAATCTGACATCTCGGACCGCCACCCCGGCCTTGCCGGCCTTGATTGCCCCAACCGCGATTTTGCCGGCCACCACGACCGCCGGAGTGACGCCCCTGCGTCTGATCACTGCCATGCCGTCCTCGTCCAGCGTAGAACACCGCCGGAGAGCCACTGCCATCCACCGAATCTGCAATAGCAAAATCATCCTCATGGATGAATTCCTGCGCCTGGAGGAAGTCGGAGAGCTGCGCCAACGAGACTGTCGCTCCAGTTGCGGTGAGAGAATTTGCCATCGTGCGGAACTCCGGTCTGAGCCCCCGGAGAACGTACAAAATTTGTTCGTCCGGCGAGAGAGGCCTGCAGGCGAGAGATAGCGCCTCAGCGATCATCTGGCACTTCCCTAAGTATTCGGCCGGAGATCCAGGGCCTTGGCGGAGGGTCTGAAACTGCCCGAGCAGGCTCAAGCATCGCGCACGGGTGGAGGAGGCGCATGTCGACGCGATCGCATCCCAGACCTCCTAAGATGTCTGCCTGCCGACCACGAGGTGCATAACCTCGTCAGATAAGGAGGAGATGATGGTGGAGAGGATCACCTGGTCCTGTTGGATCCATGCTTCATACGCCGGGTTTGCAGTGGTAGTGGTTGTCGTGGTGGAGTCGCCGGCGGTGGAGGAAACAACGACGGTCGCCGGTGGACATGGAATTCGGCCGTCGATGTAGCCTAACAAGCCTTGGCCGCGGAGGAACGACACCAATTGAGTGCGCCAGAATAGGTAGTTCCTCATTGTCAGCCGTGTGGAGACAAAATGATGAGCCGCCGTGAGGGAGTTGACGGCCACTGGAGGTACGCCGGAGGTGGTGGTGACGGTTCGTTCACTTGAGGAGGATGCCATGCGTTTGTTACGTGGAGAGTGTATGGTGAACGAAAAAAGAGAGGTTCGAACCTTCGACTTCTGATACCAGATTAGATTATGGAATGTGAATAACCAATTCAATTAACCTCAGACAAGGAATTAGAGTCCTATATACAAAGCTCCTATTCTGTAGGCTAAAACTAATTAGACTAAGTCTCTACCACAGATACAGACTATATAGTATAATAAAATAAATACAATTATTCATATTACTAACACTTTCTTCCTCCCATATGTGTCTTGCAACTAATTCACTGAACTTTATCTATATCACAATGGAGATAAAAACTAAGATGAAGGAGAATTAATTAAAGAATCCTGTAATAAGAAATTTCACTTGAGAAGTGATTCCTTAAGATTTAAGAATCTTGAAAGCAATGTGAATCCTAGTTAATATGTTCACTTGTTCTTTGATTATGATGGGTTTATCAGGAAAATGTAAAGTGAACTCTTTAAGTTGAGGAAGTCCCAAACAGATGATAGAAAAGGAATCAGATTAAAGATCAATGCTTACGGTAAGGAAGTGCTGATATACAGACCTTGCCAAGGAAGCATATTCCTTGTGAATATTTACGGTCTTGGTTTGGGAGATGAAATGATTTGGCAAGTTTACGTACATCTTCCTGCAGATAATGTATATATTAAGAAAAACTATCATGTCAAAGAATATTCAATGACTGTCTTGTTTATGAGAAATACCAATCTCATCTAACCTTTGGTATACTTCCAAGAGGGAAAAGAAGCCGCTTAAGCTGAGCATGTGAGAGATGTGAAAGGAAGTATGTCATCTTTATAACACATAAAGATGTTATGGTAGCCTTTAGAGTCAAAATTTGGATGGAACTAAGTGTTAATTTAAAATTAGTTTTAAGCTAAAAATTTCAAATCAATTAAAAAAGAATATTATTACTAATTTAATACAAACATGTGAAACATGACTATGCTAATTGGAAATGGCAGTCAGAGAAGGGGGAAAAACTTATTAGCATATGATAACACTGGATTGGCAGAGAGAAGAAAATAGTCAATCCTTCATGACCATTCAATCATCATATTTTCCAAATAAGGAAAGGGATCACAAAGAAATTGAGTGCAGATCAATATTAAGTCTGTCAGTTCACCAACAAACGAATTTAGTAGACTTAATTTGAAATCACTGCTGCAGAACTTGATTTAAAAGCAGCAATTAAATAACTAAAACTAAATAACAGTCTGTTCTCATAGACTAGAAAACATAGTAAGATTGACATCCTCAAAAGTATAGCAGCAGTGTTAGTATTATTATTATTTGTTACAATATCTTTATATTATATGATTGTAATTGTGTGGCTTTAGAGTAGCTGAATTAGTATAGTATATTACTCAGGGTTTGTTAGAGTTCTGTTTTAGATATACTTTGTATTCCTATTCTATTGGTTAATTGAATGAATCGATATCTCTAATATGGTATCAGAGCGGTTCAATTCTCTCTCGCCATCTCCTCCGCAAATCTACCCCCCCTTACCGTACTTTCTTCGGCCATGTCATCTGGTTATTGCGAGCGCACCGTGTCCGCCACCGGAACTCCACCGGCGGCCGGCGGCAGCTCACTGGCTGGAGCACATCATTATGTCTCCATGAAATTGACAACCAGAAATTTTTTATTCTGGCGTACACAGCTAATTCCATTCCTCCGAGGCAAGGAACTGCTCGGTTATGTCAATGGGTCTCCCCCGTGTCCTCCGGCGACTATCAAAGCGCCCTCCTCCGGCGACTAGTCTTCCACTCCGGCAACTGCAACATTCATTCCCAATCCAGCGTTTCGAGCATGGGAGAAGCAGGACCAGTCCATATTGTCGCTGCTCGTCTCATCCATGTCGGACGAGGTGTTACACCTAGCCATTGGCCGGAGCACCGCCGCGGAAGTCTGGGCGTCCATCACTCAAGCGCTTGGATCATCCAGTCAGGCTCGGTGTCTGAGTCTCTTGGGGCAGTTTCATATGCTCCGACAAGGCAACGCCACCACCGCCGAATACTTAGGGCGAGCGCAGATCCTGGTAGAGTCTCTTGCACAAGCTGGCCGGCCCTTGTCTCTGATGGAACAGAATTTGTACGTTCTCCGCGGGTTGCGCCCGGAGCTCAAAGCCATCGCAGCTTCCCTCACTGCCTTGGGGACTCCCGTCTCTCTATCGCACTTATCCGATTTTTTTGCAAGCCCACGAGTTTATACTCGTGGAAGATTATCCATCAAGCATCGAAGCCAGCGTGTCTCCGACAGCCATGTACGCTGCTCCAGGACGTGGATCGCAAGGGGGCAGTGGCGGCCGGCAGTCGCAGAACCACCGTGGGCGTGGCTGTCGTGGTGCTCAGGCTCGCGGTGGCCGCGGTGGTCGTGGGAGTCCGAGATGTTAGATATGCAGATCTCACGGCCACACGGCCGTCTACTGCTTCAAGAGGTACAGTACTCAACCTCCAGCACAGGCTCACATTGCCATCTCCAGTGAAGCACCGGTGTCGTCCTCGGCTCTATCGTCTGACGGTTGGTACCCGGACACCGGGGCCACGACACACGCAACGCCCGACACCGGTATGATGCAGATGTCGGATGAGTACGTTGGTCCAGACGTGCTACGGGTTGGAAACGGAGCAGGTTTGGCTATTTCCTGAGTCGGTCGTACATCTCTCCCATCCGTGTCTAGACCGTTAGAATTGTCTAATATCTTACATGTTCCGAGTCTATCTGTTCCGCTTTTATCCGTGCATAAATTTACTTCTGAGAACAAAGTATTTTTTGAATTTCATAATGACTGTTTTTTTGTGAAGGACTCCACAACCAAAGCGGTTCTACTTAAGGGTCCCACGTCAGGCGGTCTGTACAAGCTCCCTATGTTCCGGTCACATCATGCGTTCGTCAGTTCCCGGGCCACGCCCACTGTGTGGCACCGTAGACTTGGTCACCCTCATAAACAAGTACTAAATAAAGTCCTACAGCAGTGCCCGGTCACATCAAATAAATCGGAGTCACTGGAGTCGTGTACGGTCTGCCATCTCGACAAATCACACACCTTTCTTCGTGTCTTCGGGTGCCGATGTTACCCATATCTGCGCCCGTATAACCGGCATAAGATTGAGTATCGACCGGCTCCATGCGTCTTCCTAGGTTACCCGCCCTCCTTTAGGGGATACAGATGTATTGACTTGATAAGTGGGAAAACCTATATATGTCGGCATGTTCGTTTCGACGAAAATATTTTTCCATTTGCAACAGGAACTCCAAATCAAGAGATAACACCGCCTGCCCTACCGTGGGCCGCTGGGCCGGTTGTAGCCCAATCCGAGCCCACCTATGTACCGGCACCTCAATCCGTGCCTGAGCCTATACCACTGGATAGTGCCCCACCCCAGCTGGCTATAGCTCATACTGCTCCGGTCCGACGTCGTAAGGCACAAGCTCAGCCTCAAAGTCGGGACCATGTCATGCGTCTCCGACATATGACTAGAGACACGGCTGAGCCGTTTTTTGCGTTAAATGCAACTACTGATCCAACTTGTTATTCCCAAGCTGTGGGACACCCACATTGGCGTGAAGCTATGGATCAGGAGTTCAATGCTGTTACACAATCACACTTGGTGGTTAGTGGCACCGGAGCCACATATGAACATCATTGGTTGCAAATGGGTGTTCCGCACAAAGCGAAACGCTGATAGCTCGGTAGAGCGTTATAAAGCTCGTCTAGTCGCCAAAGGGTTCAATCAGGTGGCAGGCGAGAATTTCTTCGACACCTTCAGCCCCGTGGTCAAGCCCACCATGGTTCATGATGCGTAGTATATTTGCAAACAAATAATTCTCGAAGTACGAGTTATCGATCCACAGGGAAGTGGTTGTATCAAGCACTAGTTACTAACTTATTCATTAGAGCTAATCCTAACAATTACTTAGATGATTGATTGACATAAAATAAATAAAATAAAATAGAGGTTCAGGATTTTGAAAACAATAAAAGAGAAGTTGAGATTCATGGGATTCAAGTATTTAATCACCTAGTGCCAATTATCGTTTGCAATATTTAGTTTGGAATTAAGACTTGTATGGGAATGCAAGGTGGAATCGAATTACTCCCGTAATCTCTATTCCTAGTGAATTTCCACTCCCGTGGCTTAAACACCCAATAAGATCGAAGATCAGCATTCAATTATTCATAATTACTACCATCTCCCGATGTGCAACAATCTAGAATAAACTTCCCCTAATAAGTTCCCCTTTCCCAAGGTCCAACCATTAGGTGCAATTGTGTGTGCCCTAATTTATGCCCCAACTCCCATTGGTGACACAAACATGGCTATGAAGCTAGTAACTATGGCCATTAATTACAAGCATCAAACAATATTATCACGATTGCAACACAAGTATTAAACCCAAACAATAATATATTAAAGAAACTGAGAGCTCAGGCACATAGGTTCATACACACTTTTACCCAAGAATCTCTAAAGAATTTAGCCAAGCATGACTAAATTATACATAGCAAATATAAATAAAGAATTACAAATCATCAAAAGAGTACAAGAATTAACCAGACGATTTTCCCAAATCTCCATATTCTTCTTGCTTTCCAAGACAACTTGTGGCTCTTGATTTCTCTCCTTCTTGTCTCCAAGAATCTCTGAATTCTGAATTCTGGACTATACAATTGTCTATTCTAATTATTTACTCTAAACTAAACTACTTGTCTTCTTAGGGTTGAGGAAGGTGGGATTTTATAATAGGTACAAAGTTGGGATCAACCCTTGAGAAATTAGGAATATTTCTATTTAATAATTAAGAAATTACCGTCTTTAATCGTTTGATATTGCTGCCATCATATGATTAGGAAATTACTATCCTTTCTTTAGCTTTGGATAATGCCACTTTAAATTAGGAAGTTTCTAAAATCGCGCCCAGTGCAATAGGTACGGTTTTCAAGCTTATTTTGACCATTTTCTCTTATTATCTAGACTTTGATGTCTTCATAAGAGTTGTAGCCCTTTGAGTCTTCTTTCCAATGGAGCAAGAATCATCTCAATCGGACATGCGTAGTATGAGATATGATCAAAATACTAAACTGTCGCCAATCTGTGTGAGATGAAATGTTATTGGAAATTTTCGACGCGTCGAGCTTGGGGCTCGACACGTCGAGTTTTCTTCTGAGTCATATATTGTAGCCCTTCGAGTCTTCTTTCCAATGGCGCAAGAATCACCTCAATCGGACATTCCTAGCATGAGATATGATCAAAATACTAAGCTGTCGCCGAATTCAACGAGAATTACAACTCTTCGGTCTTTTGATCCACTTTTGACTCCAATTTCGTCCTAGGACTTTCCTTGCTCATAATTTTGACCTACAATGGTTCAAAAACACTAACAAAAACCGTAAAACATTCAAAATAAGTGTGAACCATAATTAAATGACAATATCAATGAAAAACATGTATTAAATAAGCAAAATTAATGAACTTAACTACTGAGATGATTCAAAATAACTATAAAAACAAGCACAAATGTGATAACATCAGTTCACATGTGGACACTCCGCCAACAGGACGTTCACAATGCTTTTTTGAATGGCCATCTGGCAGAAACGGTGTACATGAAGCAACCTCCAGGGTATGAAGATCCAGCTACCCCCGGGCACGTCTGTCATTTACAGCATTCCCTGTATGGTTTGAAACAGGCTCCACGAGCCTGGTTCAAAAGATTACATGATTTTTTACTATCTACAGGGTTCAAAGCTTCCAAAACAGATGTCTCCCTTTTTTACTACATTGAGGGGACATCACGGGTGTATTTACTTGTCTACGTGGATGGCATTATCATGATGGGTAATGCTGCACCACTAGTGGACACTCTTCTTCAACGACTTTCCACGGCTTTCAAGATCCGTGATCTGGGCAAACCAGGGTTCTTCTTGGGGATTGAAACAATCACGGACGGTGATAGTATAATTCTCTCCCAGCGTCGATATATGACTGGCCTTCTTGGAAGGTCCGGAAGGGTGGATTGCAAACCACTTTCTACGCCGGCAGCAGTCACTAAAGTGGTAACTCCATCTAACCAGCTGCATGACAACCCCACTCAGTATTGCCGTGTGGTAGGAGCCTTACAGTATCTGAATATCACGCGGCCGGATTTATCTTATGCGGTGAATGGCTTGTGTCAATTCATGCATGCACCGACTACTGACCACTGGGCTCTCGTCAAACGGGTACTGCGCTACATCAAAGGGACACTAGACTACGACCTCCATCTATCTCCATCCACGTCTACTGCTGTATACGCTTTCTCTGATTCTGATTGGGCAGGATGTCCTATTGACAGAAAGAACACGAGTGGCTTTGCGGTTTATCTCGGGTCTAACCTCATATCCTGGCTCTCGAAGAAACAACGCACTGTTGTACGATCGTCCACTGAAGCCGAGTATAAAGCTCTAGCTGACGTATTCGCAGAAGTCACATGGGTCGTATCATTACTCCGTGAGCTTGGGTTGCATGCAGGACAGCCGGCAACGTTGTGGTGTGATAATCTTGGGGCAACTTATCTCTGCGCCAATCCGGTGTTCCAAGCTCGCACCAAGCATGTGGAGATTGATTACTACTTCGTCCGCGATAAGGTGGCCTCTGGAGACTTTGTTGTCAACTACGTCTCTACTACAGATCAGTTGGCAGACATCTTTACTAAACCACTTCCAGCTCCGCGTTTTGCCGCTCTACGGGACAAGCTCAATGTTGTAGCTCACCAACCTTGTGCTTGAGGGGGTGTGTTAGTATTATTATTATTTGTTACAATATCTTTATATTATATGATTATAATTGTGTGGCTTTAGAGTACCTGAATTAGTATAGTCTATTACTCAGGGTTTGTTAGAGTTTTGTTTTAGATATACTTTGTATTCCTATTCTGTTGGTTAATTGAATGAATCGATATCTCTAATCAGAAGTAACTGTGAAAAAGCTTAAAGTATATGAAATTTAGATTTCTCTTATTCCTTAGGCTATGAAAATTATGAATCTAGACTCTGTATTAATAAAAAAAAACAACAATATATATTTCTTAATATCTAAACCTACAAATCCATCTATATCTACTCAGAAATGTCAAAGCAAAAAAGCAGGAAAAAAGAAAAGGGAAAATGCAGTTGAAACCCTAAACAGAGACAAAATTTAGTAGACTTAATATATAGCATTGAAATACAATTACCTTTTGGTTGAGATGCGGATAAAGATGTGCAACGTGACAACTTTATCTTGAAATGACTCCGCTGATGACTCGGTTGAGGTGCGACTTAGTTGAGGATGGCGATGACTCTGATCCGTAGCTTTGACTTGAGGTGTGACTCAGTTGAGGATAGCGATTCAGTAACTTTAGCTTGAGGTGCGAAAGGGATTTAGCAACAACTCCTACAAGGGGATTTAGCGATGATTCATTTCTCAGAATGTCAACATTAGTAGACCTTCAATATTTTCTCTTACCGGCCTTTTATTTATATTAAATAATAATAATAATAATAATAATAATTATTTAATTAATTTATTTAGTTATTTGCGCACTTACACATTAGTCATAACATTTCTGACCAAATTTCTAGTGGTCTGCATTTTCGACAACAATTTGAGAGTGGTCGGTAATATTGTCCACATTCCGACCATCCAATAGGGTGGTCAATAAATTAAGAAAAAAAAACTAATTTACCGTCCACTTTTTCGGATGGTCGAAAAAGTGGACAGAAAATGCAAATTTTCCAGCCGTGTCTGTTTATTTTGAGAGATCTAACAACTAAAAAATGAAAAAAAAAAAATTACAACAATATTTTTGTAAAGAGAAAATTTCAATTTTGGTCCACTGACTATTAAAGCTGTGTTAATTGCAACACTTGACTTTCAAAAATGTTAATTTAATACCTTGACTATACAATTTCTATCAATTTTGGTCACGCCGGCCAAATTACCGGCCAAATCTCACCGGAAATATTTAATAGGTCAAATAATGAGGGTATTTTAGTCATTTTACCCATTTTCTTTCTTCTCCGATGAGCTTCTCCATTTCCGGCATCGTTCTTCTCCATTTCCGACAATGTTCTTCTCCGGCCAATCAATGACGCTAACACCTCGACACGCGAACGCCCATTCGCACAATGACGCGAACGCGAATGCTTACCTGCAGATTAAAATCACATTAAAAATGATGGCTTAGAACCGAGCAAATCGAAAATCAGAACTAGATAGTCCATTTTCTTTAATTTCCTTACCCTCGCAGTGTTGAAAGCCTCGGTCTTGCAGTCGGGGAAAATACAAACTGACCAAGGAGACAGATTGTATTGCTTGTTCCAAAATGTCACTTTTGCTGAGTATTGGGGTCGTAATTGGAGAGGAACAAAGCACAATGCCCCCCGACTTTGGACTAAAGACATAAGCCTACATATATATATCAAAAAACATTGTTAAGGTTTTAAGGACAGCTATCTATGTTTGAAAAGTAGTCAGACAGTGAAACCGACCAATTGCACATTGCCATTAACTGGTCGGAGAAGAACATCGCCGGAAATGGAGAAGAACGTCGCCGGAAATGGAGAAGCTCATCGGAGAAGAAAGAAAATGGATAAAATGACTAAAATACCCTCATTATTTGTCCTATTAAATTTTTCCGGTGAGATTTGGCCGGCAATTTGGCCGGCGTGACCAAAATTGATAGAAATTACATAGTCAAGGTACTAAATTAACATTTTTTGAAAGTCCAGCAATTAACACAACTCCAATAGTCAGTGGACCAAAATTGAAATTTTCTTTTTTTGTAAATATACAAATTTTAAATATACATTTAGAAAAAGCTAGTGAGTGCATCCACACTCATGGGAAACTCTCATTCTCATAGAAGTCCCCTCCCCCCCCCTCTCTCTCTCTCTCTCTCTCTCTCTCTCTATATATATATATATATATATATATATATATATATATATATATATATATATATACACGTTTTCAAAAGAAAAATAAAATTATGAATCTACAGTATATAAATTATGGATCTATCCCTGTATTCACCATGCGTATGGTGAACACGTTTTCCCAACATAATTTGCGAGATAAAAGTTGCAAATTATATTATGGACCATGTTCTACCTTGCACCATGAGTTATGGTTTATTATTAAGATATTGTAGGTTTATTAAAAAGTATATCGATCATGGTTCATTATAATAATAATATAATACTATAGGTTTATTAAGATGACATCAATTTGCATAATAATCATTTATACATATTATTCTTTATAAATAAAACCAATGTTACAACGTATATTATATTAAAAAAAATTCAATGAGATGTTTTGAATGATGCTCATATTAATATTTTTTTATCTTATTTGTTTATTGATGAACTTACAATATTGATAAAATGAACCTTCTGTATTGTAAAAATGAACCTCTAGTATTTTCTTAATGTACCTATTTTAAAATCATGACTATTATGATGTAATTGCATTATTATTGTAAAGATGAACAATTCATTATTGTACAAATTAACCACCAAAATATATATATATATATATATATATATATATATATATATATATATATATAATATATATATATATATATATATATATATATATATATATATATATATATATATATATATATATATATTGGGAAGGGTTCAGGTGCGGGAATGACATCCCGTGCGATTGTGCGGTTAGATGCACCTTAAGCATTAATAAAATGGCACACATTAAGTATTAACTTTCGCATCTTAGTTTATAACACTGACGCACTTTAAGCATACGAATCAGGCACCTTAAGCATATGAATCAGGCACCTTAAGCACACACACACGCACATTAAGCGCAAAACTTATGCACATTAAGCACAAAACTCAAACACCTTAAGTTTCAACAACTACTCACATTAAGTACTAACCCCACACACCTTAAGCACAAATCCTACGCACCTTAAGCACAAACCCACACACCTTAAGCACAAACCCCACGCACCTTAAATTTCAACAACTACTCACATTAAGCACACAACCCATTCACCTTATGCAGAAACCCCACGCACCTTAAGCACAAATCACACGTACCTTAATCACAAACCACACACACATTAAGCACAAAACTCACGCACATTAAGCCCAAACCCAAGCACCTTAAATTTACCTAGATGAAAAAATTATAAAATTGCCACCGCGTGTATTTTTTTTTTTTTTTTTTTTTAAAATTTCGGTAATCTTGGACGTAGATTTAAGCAAGATCAATGGCTTAGATTTAACCGCACAACCGCACCTGGACTGCCAACCGCAACAGAACCTAATATATATATAGAGTAAATTACACTTTTGGTCTAATGACTATTATGGTGTTGTTAATTTCAGCCCATGAGTTTCAAAACTGTCAATTTGGTACTGTAACTATTCAATTTTTTCTCAATTTCAGTCCCTCCGTCCAAATTGCTGGCAAAAAGTGCCCAGAAAATATTACTGTGTTAAATAATGAGGGCAATTTTTTCTTTTTCACCCCTCTTCTCATTCTTCCTCGCTGACCAATCGCCTCAGCCTTGGCAAACCACCGTCTCCTCTACCATCTCGACTTCATCTGCAATTTTAATTGTGTAGACCACTACCTCCTCCACCATCATAATTCACCTTTTGCCACCATAAAAAACTTCACCACTGCCTCATCCACCGTCGTGACCTCAATCAGATGTTTTTTAGAAAGTCAAATAATAGCAGATTGAGTCGAGGACTTTTGATTGATGAATCGTGAATTTTTATCTCATATTCATTTTGTACGCGTTCGTTAATGAGGGAGAATACTGCTAAGTCTTTTGTAAGAGGTGAGGAGAGATAAATGGTTGAGTGTTCGATTTATTTGCTATGCTTACAATTTTGAGTCATGCTGAGAAAAAGGTGACCCAAAGAGAATTACTTTACAAGATGCTCTGGTGAAGTTTTTGATGGGGTAGCTTTTGATGATGGCAGAAGGTGAATTATGACGGTGGAGGAGACGGTGGTTTGCACAATTAAAATTGCAGATGAAGGTCGCGATGGTGGAGGAGACGTTGGTTTGCGATGCTGAGGCGATCGGAGAATGTTTCTGCGGGGAAAAACGTGAAGAGGAAGTGAAAAGACATAATTGCCCTCATTATTTAACTCATTAACATTTTCCGGTCACTTTTCACGGGCAATTTGGCCGGAAGGACTAAAATTGAAAAAAATTGAATAATTACGGTACCAAATTGACAGTTTTGAAACTCATGGATTAAAATTAACAACACCTCAATAGTAATTGGACCAAAAGTGTAATTTACTATATATATTGATAGGGGATACCCCGACCGCCGTAAGCCTCCCGACCACTGTGCCTTCTTCTCTCCTCTTCTCTTTTACATGTTACAGGGCGGGGTTCTTAAGAGAGACCCGGTCGGTTCCCGACCGAATACTGCCCGACCGGCATGACCAACCCCGAGCGACGGCCCTTAGGCGAGAGAGTTGAGGAGAGACACGTGTCGACACTTGGCGTTAACAGCGAGACGCCAGGGAGGATGACGCGTGTCTGGCCACGTGTCGGGCTGGCCGGAGAGCCCGGATTATGTCTCCGGCGCCACGGCTATAAATACCCGCCATTGCGGCAGTGTGAGGATCTTTTGGACGATCGCTAGACTGTTATCAGAGCATCCCGACCGCATTCAGTCGGTACCCGAGCAGTCATTTAGATTGTACTAGGGACCTTCACCTCGATCAATAAAAGAGATTTATTTGCTTTACTTGGTCGTGCATGTGTTAATCACTGCTTACGTGGCAATTAGCACTATCATTTTGGCGCCGTCTGTGGGGACCCGTGCAAGCAAGCTACCGTTTGACGAGCACCCGGTCTCTTTTTCACCATGTACCCGTGGGCACACGACGTAGTTCGTGACGATCAAGCGGATGAGGCCAGCTCATCCGATCACCCGCCGGCCCAGCAACAAGGTCACACCGTGGACCTTAACCTCAACCTTTCACCGCCGCACCCATCCACCTCGTACCCGGCCGCCCAGCAGTCGGTGAATTACATCCAACTGGGATACTATGCCCCCGGTCATCCCGGTCAGCAGTTCCAGCAGCAGCCCCAGTACCCTTGGTAGTATCCTTACCCGGTCCCTCCTCAACCGTACGGATACTGGCCTGGCCAACCGATGTACTACACACCGCCGGTTGGCTATCCACCTTACATGCCTGCGTTCACGGCTCCAGTCGCTGCCCCTCCAGTCTACCCGACCGCTCAGGTAGAGCCGGAGCATCAGCCCTCTTCCCGAGCTCGACGCTCGGCTCGTTCACGGTTGAGGTCGGGGGGTGCAGTTGCGATGGAGGCACCACGGCAGGCCCAGCAAGTGCAGCCGGATTACCAGACCCAAGCGGAGGACACCGAGGAAG